TTGGTCGTGCAGTAGAGGGTTAAATGATCTTATTCATTTTTTGATAAAATTGCATGGGTATCCATTCTGATGGAAGATGTTGTGTAAATAGTCTGTTTGCTTTTCCTGATGTTCAGGGTTGTAGTGTGTATTCATCTAAATAGTGTTTTTACACAGCTTCTTTTGTGGGAGATTGGATTGTCACCTTGGTAATGGAGCACTTAGTGTGGATGGTTTTATGATAGATACAGTATGTGTTTCTAATTTGGTACCATTAACTCTACTGCTGAGAATATCTAGGAAGAGTAGAATGTTATTGTTTCCTTTGTTCCTTATGAATTTTATTCTTTAGAAGATGTTTTGTATGTCTTCTCGACTTATTCCTTCTTTACTATGACAAAGGTGTCATGAATATACTGGATCCATACTTTTGATTGTATACATGGGAATATACTATAATTTCTAGACATTGCATTACAGTCTTTGCTATAAGTCCTAAAAATGGTGATCCCATTGATGTTCCTCTGATTTGTTGGTATATTTTTCCATCAAATTGAAAGTAGTAGTAAGGCAAAGATTGACAAGGTCCAGGATTCTGGGTATTTCAAACTTAGTATATTTAGTTAGGTTGGGTGTGTTGTATAATAGTGCTGCCATGGATTCTTTTACTAATTCTGGGAATGTGGAATGTTCAGAGTAAGAAAACAGCTGATGCTGGGGAACTTTGATTTAATTTAATTAAATTTATTTTGATTTACATCTATTTATTATTTATTTATTTATTTATTTGTTTAAATTTCTATACCGCCCTTCTCCAATGTAGGACTCAGGGCGGTGAACAGCCAAAGTAAAAACAAGACATACATACAAACATACAAAATCTAAAAACTGTTTAAAATAATTAAATAATTTTGGCCGTAATTAAAACATTCCAATTTAAAATCCATTTAAAATTTGACTCAAGCCAGCCCAGCTAGTTGGAATAAATGGGTTTTCAGGGCCCGACGAAAAATCCGGAGGTCTGTTATTGTACGTAGCTCTGGGGGGAGGTTGTTCCAGAGGGCGGGCGCCGCCACAGAGAAGGCTCTCCCCCTGGGGGTCGCCAGCCGACATTGTCTGGCGGACGGCACCCTGAGGAGGCCCACTCTGTGGGAGCGTACTGGCCGGTGGGAGGCTATTGGTGGCAGAAGGCGGTCTCGTAAGTACCCCGGCCCTAAGCCATGGAGCGCTTTAAAGGTGGTCACCAACACCTTGAAGCGCACCCGGAAGACCACCGGAAGCCAGTGCAGCTCGCGCAGGAGAGGTGTCACGTGGGAGCGCCTCGTCGCCCCCAAAATCCCCCGCGCGGCCGCATTCTGGACCAGCTGGAGCCTCCGGGTGCACCCCAGGGGGAGCCCCATGTAGAGAGCATTGCAGTAGTCCAGGCGGGAAGTGACGAGTGCCTGAGTGACTGTGCGTAGGGAGTCCCGATCTAGAAAGGGGCGCAACTGGCGTATCAGGCGAACCTGATAAAAAGCCCCCCTGGCCACGGCCGCCAAATGATCTTCTAACGACAGCCGTGCGTCCAGGAGGACGCCCAAGTTACGAGCCCTCTCCGTGGGGGCGAGTGATTCGCCTCCAATAGCCAGCGATGGCGTCAGCTGGCTATATCGGGACGCCGGAAGCCACAGCCACTCGGTCTTGGAGGGGTTGAGTTGGAGCCTGTTTCTCCCCATCCAGGCCCGCACGGCCTCCAGGCACTGGGACATCACTTTAAGGGCATCATTGGGGTGGCCTGGGGTGGAGATGTACAGCTGGGTGTCATCAGCGTACTGATGGAACTCCACCCCGAAGCCACGGATGATCTCACCCAGCGGCTTTACATAAATGTTGAACAGAAGGGGCGAGAGGACCGACCCTTGTGGCATCCCACAAGCAAGGTGCCTCGGGGTCGACCGCTGCCCCCCTGTCAACACAGATTGCGACCGGTCAGAGAGGTAGGAGGAGAACCACCGCAAAACGGTGCCTCCCACCCCCAACCCCGCCAACCGGTGCAACATGATACCATGGTCGATGGTATCAAAAGCCGCTGAGAGGTCTAACAGGACCAGGATAGAGGAGCAACCCCTATCCCGGGCCCTCCAGAGATCATCCACCAATGCGACCAATGCCGTTTCCGTGCTGTGCCCAGGCTATAGTGAATAACACTAAATTAATTGCCATTAGTTAATATGGGCAGTCCATATGTATATAATGTGTTTTCTGTTATACTACGGTACAGCCTATCAGTTTGGGAGGGGTCATGAAGGCTGCATCCAAAGATGATGGGAATATAGGTAGGGTTTCCTTGCAGAAATTTATCAGAAGAGGAAAAACAGTGATAGACAGTGTTATTGATTTTTCAGGTTTTAAAACGGGAAAAAATAATTAAATTCCCCAGCACCATCTTTGTATCCTCAGAAATTTGTCATTTTTTGGAATGACCCCATTTTAGTTTGAATCATTGTTCTATGATTTAACTCTGACATCTACAGAGGTCTTCATAAGTGGCTAATTCCTGGTAGTTGTAAGTGGAATAAACTGAGATTTTTTGGGACATTGCTAGCCTTGCTAGTCAATTGAAAATATATATTTTATATTGGGTATTAAACAGGGAGAAATTTGTTGGCATCTAATAGAAGTAATTCTAACCTGAGAAGCTTGAAACTATAATTAAAATGTAAACAAAATAGGGACTGACTAATTCATTGATTTAAACATGAGTCATCAGATGCAAGCATGCAAGTGTATAAAATATATATTGCCCATACCTCACCTTTCTTGTTGTGATGTTTATTTCTTGCAGCTTCATGTAATTTATAAAAGAAAGAATCATTTAATAATAAAGTTATAAATTAGGAACTGCTTGACAAGACAAAGCTTCTTCCATGTCTCCTAAAATATGAGTTCCAGTGTTATGGAGGCTTGAGTTCCAGTTTTCCTCTCTTGTAATGAGCCATAGCTTTAAGTGTGATAAAAAAAATGTGGTTTGTGTTTGCATTTTGTGGTTCTTTTTTTGTGCCTAGTATTGAAATGTTACAAAAAGTTAGCTCATCCTTACCCGAATTGACCTTACTGAATAGCAAGGCATCCTTTTTTCTATTAGCATAATATGCATATGGAGGAACCTTTTGATTGCCTACTAAAGGATTATTTTAGCAGCTTTGCAATGTTTAGACCATCTCCTGAAATAATTTGGTTTCCCAACAGTGATGGCCTGCTAGGCAATGACTTAAGTTAATTAGCATTTTATTGTAATTTAGAAGGTCAATCAACAGAGCTGATAATTCATTGGAGATGCATTTTGATGTCAAGCAAGGGTGGTTAGTCTGTAGCACTCCAGATATTGCTGAACTACAATTCACCGCTTCTCTAGGAAATATGGACAATGGTGAGGAATGCTGGGAGATGTAATTCTGAAATACTTGGAGTCAGTGGCGAAATGCTCTGAAGTCTACTACTGGTTTGCTGATGTGCACGCATGTGCAGTGTGCGCCAAATGCATTCTACATGCACATGCACACCACAGTGCTACCACACAGTGCTGAAAAAGGAGATTTAAGAAGCCTTTTCTAAGGTAAATAGAACAGCAAGGGGAGGGAGAACTACTGTGCCGTGCGATTTAGAGTTGCTGGAAATATAATCATGCTGCACAGCTGATTGTTGTAAATACTGGTTCGTCCGAACTGGTAGAATTTTTTTACTACTGGTTCACCTGATCTGGTAGCTTTTATTACTACCAGTTCAGGTGAACCGGTCCAAATCGGTTGCTTGGAGTGCAGAAATTTCCTAATCTTCAATTATGCTCCTTTATATTTTGAATGTTGGAACTGTTCCTTTAAATTATTATTGGCAATGATAGATTGAGTTGTTCTTTACAGAGGGGGAAGTCCTTATCTCAGGTGCCAGAAGTGGCAATTCCTGACCCTGAAAGAAATAGGTTGTCTAGCCAGTCCTTTTGGGCTGAGTGTTTTCCTGTTCTCAATGAGCCAAATACTTCTGACCTCTCCAATATGCTGAATAGTGAATGCTTTTGAACATGCACATTGAAAAATGTAGGTGGAGTATGTGCCTGCAGTGTTCCCAACTTGCATGGAAATATCTGATGAAAAACATTGGATCTAGACCAGGGGTGTCAAACTCACGTCGTCACGGCGGCATCACATGACATATTGGGACTTTCCCCCCTTCATTAAACTGGGTGTGGGCATGACCAGCGTATGATGCGGGCTGGGAGTTTGACAGCCCTGGTCTAGAGGGAGAAAAACTGGGTTTGTTTCCAGAGATAAAAACAATGGCGTGATTAAAAGACCTTTTAATGTGCTTAATTGTAAGCTTTAGTTGTAAAAGTGTGCCTAAATGTCTGAGTAAATGAAGATTGTATTTCTGCAATAAGTAGCAGTTTAACAGCCAATCTGGTATAATGGTTAAGGCAATAGTGTAGAAATGGGGAGAACAAAGGTCAAGCCCACTGTCAGCCATAGAAACTTACTGGATCACATAGAGCCAATCACTCACTCTCAAAGTAACCTGAGAATGTATCTGTTGTATGGATAAAACACAGAGAGATCCCCAAGTAGACTGTCCTGAGGAAACATGGGATGTAAATCTTACAAATAGAATAGTAATAAAGACACAATATCCTTCCAAGAAATATGTAAATATGCAATTGGTATTATGTTAAGCGGGGCATGAGAGAATGCCACTTCAAATAGTACTCAGCATCTACAAGGTTTCTAAGCACCTGTATTAAATCTGTATTAATTAAATCAAGCACATATTTTAGTCATTTTAAAATGGTTTCCAATGACTGACAAATGCATGGCCTAAATCTTGTAGCACCAATAAAAATGATGGCAATTTATTATTAGAGAAATGGAGAGGATGGGGAGTAGCTAGGCCTAAGTGTGGCCTACAATAGGAAACTGGTTACTAGGGTTCCCACCAGAACTTATTACAGGTCATAACTGTCCCTTCCCTTCCTTTTTGTTTTCCTTTGGTAGGGTGTGGGCTTGTCTGTCCATGGGCATTTCAGAGTTGCTACAGAGAGGACCGTTTTTGCAATGCCAGAGACAGCAATAGGTAAGCACCACACATTGCATTATATGTTGACTTTTCATAGAGAAGCAGAAACTACTGTATAAATACCAGCTGGAATATGAAGAGTCACATTCCTACCCTGCTGCAGCACTTAATAATATTGATCTACTCACACACTCTGACAATAACATTCCACAAAGGGTCTGTGAGAAGATCATTCACCTCCATATATATCACTTAGAACTGACAGCAGAAAACATTAGATAACATCTGAGTAACAATAATGATTGGATCTTTATTTCTTGAATTCTTGAACATTTCCACTCATGGAGTATGCTTTTTCATACTAAGAAACAATTGTTCCTGAGTCCTTTGCTTATTTTTGAAATACGTGCAGAGCAAGAGATGGAATTTGACCAAAAAAATTAATCTTTTCTTTATGTAGAATTAGGACATCGTCATCAGAGATTGGCTACCAGATTAACCAAGGAGCAACAATATAATGCATGGGGGCACCATATAGTGTCTGCAGGATCCCAAAATGGGGAAATAGACTTTAGGGCAAAAATGGTGAATTAACATAAAAAATAAAAAAGAAATTCCTGCCACCTGAAGTCTCACTATGTTTAGTTTAAGAACACCAACATCCCCTGAAATGTGATGGATCTCCAAAAATATACAATACATTTGTTTTTAGAAATTATTTTAGCACTTATTCCATAGACCACAGGCTGGGAATCATTTGTTCAGAGTTTATTCTATGAATAAATGCATTTTGTTCATGGGGAGAAGATTGGAACATCATTAGAATATCTGGAATATATTAGAATATCTGGAAGAAAAGCAACCCGATGAACTGAAGCAAGAGAAAGCCAAAGGCTTCGGGGTGATTACACTAATCAAATGCAATGTTTTGATCACACAGCATCGTCTGTGTAGCTGTCATTCCAGGGTTTCTGTTGAGCTTGCATTTTTGGCTTCCAAGATCTAATGAAACAAATCCAAGGGTGGGTAGAGCAAGAATACCCTTGCAGGGTATTAAAAACTGCTTTAGATAGATACTCTATAGACATCCTTTTTTTCGACTGAAAAAGGTTAAACAAGTGGCAGTTCTAAGAGTGCAAATTGTGGCATCGTGGTTAGGTCTGATTTGGATAGAGACAGTAATGAAGAACTTTCATTGACTTTTTATTTCCATTGTGACTTAAACTATTATATATAAAGTTTATTGTCATTGTACGTATATACACAGTATACCCATACAACGAAATTCACATAACACCCAGAGTCCAAGCCCAACACACATGACAATCCCCAGATACACCCCCACCCACCAAAAATTCCCCACCCCTAAACCACCCAAGCATCCACACAGCAGACCAAGTAATGCTGTCCAACAGCTTATTGATGGTGGCCCTTTAGTTCATTGTTGAGTGCAATTATAGCTCTGGGATAAAAACTATTATCAAAGGCTCTTAACCATTTATAGGTTAAGAAAACTTGTCTTCCAATACAGATGTGAAGGGAACTGCTCAGTTTGGGGACTGCAGCATGGGAACACAGAGTCTCCTTAATCTAAGCGCCAAACTCTGGTCCCTTTATTCATAAACCAGTGGTTTGGTTTTATACTTTGTTTTTGAATGTATTCACTTCCCAGAGTTACCCAGGATTTGGGTAAGTTAGAAATGTGAACTGGATGCATTCCAAAGTGTCCCATTTTATTTGATCCTGAGACTACTCATATACTGACTAGGTGTTTAAGCACAAGGTTTTTAAAATAGCTGGTATGAAAAAATAGTATCATGGATTTGGCTTCTTAGAACTATCTTTCCAATCACAAAAGAAAAAGGCCCAGTGGCTCCTAGTATATCAACACCATTTTCCATATTAATATCATCCTAAAGTCTGAAGATGGCTTTGAAAAGATAATTCACACAACACAAAGTTTGAGGAAAGGGTCTTACACATGTTCTGCACTAAATTGTATTTTGTGATGTTGCTGCTAATATTTGTGTCCCACAACAATTCACAGAAGATGTTCAAGTATAAAAAGTGGAAACGTTCCTTTTTGTGGCTATCAACTTCAGCAGAGATCTTAAGAAAATTGTGTGGGCAAAAATGGTGCAGGGTGTTTTTACACAAGATGAGCAAAACAGCAAAGGATTCATTTTCAAGCAAAGCAGCCCACTTAACAAGGCCTAATTATTAGCAGGGGGGGAAACGGCACTTAAGTTTTAATTATACAGCTTTTTTTCATCTTGCATATCTTTTTCCCCCTTTAATTGCAGGTCTTTTCCCTGATGTGGGTGGAGGCTATTTCTTGCCAAGGCTTCCAGGGAAGCTAGGCTATTTTCTTGCTCTTACAGGATTTAGGCTGAGAGGAAGAGATGTCCACACAGCAGGAATTGCAACTCATTTTGTAGAAGCAGAGAAGGTAATTCTGCCAAAATAGGTAACAGTTATGGAATGTGCACTTGGAAAAGAGAGGGGGGGTATTTCAGTAGCACCAGAGTTTCTCCAAGAAGAGGCAGTACATTCCAGAGGGAACCCAGTCCAGAGCTGGATGGGAGAGAGAAGAAGAGGTTCGGGATAGCCAGACCCTAGAATTCCTTAGCATATATTTAATAGATTAGAAGTTTATAGCTTTAGTCTGGCAAGATTCTGTCTATTAGGTATAAGCAAATATACCTAATAGATAAAAAATTTGACTCAATTGGATTTCACTGTTTCTTCTTTTTGGCTTGGGCCTGAGAGTTACTGCTTATACTGCACCCTTGTTCCTAGTTTTGTGAGACAGGTATATTTTTAGATCACCTCGTGCACTTTTTGATCAGGTGATCAATGCTCCCTTTGTCTTTTAACCCTGTCTGGTTTAATTTGTCACTCACAAATAAATTTCCAGGCTACCATCCAATTCAGAACTCAGTACATGCAAATCTATCGTTTTCTATACTTGTATTCAGATTTTGCTGGATTTTTCTCCTTTCCCTGTCCTATGTTTGTGTCTCATTTTGAGGTTGAGGGGAGGGGTCCTTTGGAAAATAGGCTGTGGACTATAGGAAAAAAGACATTTCTGCCATTCAGTAACCAATCCCAAGTCCTTTTATTGATAGAAACCAGGGTAGGATACAGTACACCAGAATTCATAACATCTTACAGTGAAGTGGTTTGGCCCCTCAGAACTCTTGTTGGAAATTTCTGCTTTCTCCCTTAGATATCCACCTGCAGATGGAACTTTTTAAAAAAGTGATGATGCCCCAAACTTCAGTTGCTTTTATCCCCGTTTCTTTTTATAAAATGTCGTGAAAGAGAATAAAAGTGAACTGGCTTCCCAAGGTTTCAAACTGTTCTATTTTTTTTATAACATCAGTCTTGAAATCACTTGTGTGAAATTATAATGTTTCAGAAGTTAGAATTCTATACTAGTTGTAGAGATAAGGCTTCCGGAGCAAAAAGGAGAAGCCTAGTTTTTCATGTAACATTGTTTTGTAGGTATCTGAAATCTCTCTTGATATTATCAAGAAAAATTACCTCATTTTTCCCGACAAAAATGTGATTGGATAATATTAAGGCCTGTATTGAACAAAATTTTGGCTCCCCCCCCCCCCCGGTTGTTGTTTAAATGTTAGATTGTTTGATAAGGTTCAAACTGTGAATATGACAATAGATTTTTATACTTTTTATAACTATTCTTTTATTTGCAGATGACTGCTCTCGAAAAAGATTTGATAGAATTAATATCCCCCACAAAAGCAAATGTTGCAGATGTTTTGGATTCCTATCATAAGGAGGTAAATGAAAATTAAAATATACAGTAGATTTCATAATAGAGAATCTTTATATACAAAACACACCTCTTATTAAGAAAGTCTGACTCCATTTTTAATTTTTGCTGTGTGTGTGTGTGTGCAGCAGAGGAACGTTCAAAATATGGCAAACTTTCTCTTTATACACAACCATAGAGTTCTGTGTATAAACTATTTGGGGAGAAAATGAAGTTGACACCAACTTCTTAAGAATAAGGTAAACTAGATGCAACCCTGAATTAAAATTCATTAGAAAGATAAAAATATGAATTCTCTAATACTAAGAAGTATTGAAATAATGATCAAAGGTTGGTATCTGAATGATGCAGTTGCTTGGTACAGCAAACTTGGCATACTATGCTTGAAGTAAACAAAACTTTGTGAATTATTCCTTTGAGTTTTTAAGTTTGAGATTGTTTCCTTGTTGATTTAGGCAGCAGCATAAAAGATCAAATAACATCAAATAAAATATTCTTCCCAAATATTTGCTCTTCTGCTTTGTCAGGGTTATTCCTACATGGAATACTTACAAGGTTTACTGTCTTTCTATTAGAAATTTCTAAGGTGCATTCTCTCTCTCTCTATATATATATATTCCAGGATGTAACTAATTCCAAACTCATCTGTTTACTTCCAAATACATACATGGAGAGTTTTTCTATGTAAAATGCTATCTTTCAAGTGAACTAGGCTTTTGAAAGACACAGAATGCATCTATAAATAAATAAGTAAATAAGTAAGTAAGTAAATAAATAATAAATAAATAAATAAGATGGTTGACTCTCATCTCTGCATTCCTTGAAACCTTGTGCGCTGACAGAAATTGAGCTATAAATCATCTTACAGTTTGGCCACAGATTTTAGCACTCGGGTTTTCCGTCAGCAAAATGGACTGAATTTATGCCCACAGCAAGATGTTTTCTACAAAGAGGAAAGGATATGATGATCTGCAAAGATTAAATGTTAATGGAGTAGAAGCAGTCTGTGGAGTGTCCAGGATATTAGTGCTGGGCCTTTTGTTATGATTTGTAGCTTGTGTTACTATATTACAGATATGTTCATATTACAGAAACATGACATATAACTTGTGAAAAACTACAGTTCCGACAATTCTCATTTACAGATAGGGTGTTAATTGTTGCACTGACCCTTCTCATCATTAAAATGTGCTAAGCATAGTTTCCTTGCCACAATGGGCTATTGTAGATAGATACGATGATAGATAGGATATTTTTGATAGGAGCTAAAATTCAAAATATTAAAAGGTAGAATTTGGGGTAGTATATGTTTTCTCACAAACAGATACAGCAGTCCTTTTCTTTCCAGTTTCTCTCTCCCCTGGATGGCTCATCATTAGATTTGTTTGATTTTAAAGGAAAGGGCTTCCCATTATAATTGCAGTGTTTCTTAAATTTTTCTTAACTTTTGTTTGTACGGCTTATATTTATCAATATTTACTGTATTAACACATAAAATTGACACATTTGCTGCTGCTACTATCTCTCACAATTGTTTGATGGGAATTTAATATTGTATTATTTTTCAACAAAAGTTGGCAAATACACTGGCATCAGAATAGATTCAACCAACTAAAGAATGTAGCTGTGATTATGTGAGGAGGGTTTTTTTTTCTTCCAGAAGCACTAAGATCTTATGTCAATTATATCTGCAATATTTTAAAAAGTATCTGGAATCTGTGCTTGACAGTTACACCCAAGGATCTAGCACAAATATGGTCCTCAGTATATCAGTGAAATTTTTAAGAATAATAAGGAATAGCAATAGCACTTAGATTTACGGTATATTGTATACCGCTTCAGAGTGCTCTACAGCCCTCTCTATATGGTTTACAGAGTCAACATATTGTCCTCAACAATTTTTGGGGAAAAATTCTTATTCATTTCTAATCACGATAACAAAGATAAAGATAAACTGTTGCCATAATGGTTAATTTTTCTTTCATTAAGAGAAATAGCAGAGCCTTTGTTTTTTGTAACCATTTTAAATGATTTGGCACTGAAAGGAGTTTTGTTATCTTTTTTTCCTCTTAGTGCAAACTTGATCAAGAAAAAGAATTTATCCTTGGTGAACACATGGACAAAATTAACAGGTACTTGTCACTTAGTGCAGCCAGTAGTACAAAAGCACAACTATTCTTTTGTTTTGAGAACATCTAATAGATATTCTGAAAGCATTCCATCTGGGTTTGTATTCTCTGCCATCTTTGTTCCTTTCGTTTTGTGTAGTTTCCTTGTTTTTAAATATTTTTAGCAATTTGAAAACTGCCCAGAGTTCGCTGGGAATCAGGCAGCATATAAATTTAAATCATCATGATGTCATCATCGTCATCATGGCACAAAAATAGTTGTGGCTCTATATAGGGCTGAATGTCGTACTATGGCCATAAATGAGAATAGTATGCTTCGCCCCAGAAATGGATGGAGAGAGTGGGTCTTACATTTCCCCCTGCCTCGGTCTGTAAACTGTCTTCAAAGTTTTCCCAGCTATACACCAGTGCTAGTTATGGGCTGTGAAAATAGAACTGTGAGTAGTGAAGATACTTTGGTTCATCTGGCTATTTGTATATAACATAAAAGATGTTACTCATCAGTACTTCATACATGATTGTGGCCGACCCAATGCCAAGTTGTCATTTGTTTCTTGTTATCCTTTCTGAACAAATGTAGAATGGTATTCTTCCCCACTTATGGCACTCCTCATATTTAAAAATGGGGAAATTGCCATTATGAGTAGTCCTTTAATGGTCTTACTATTTTTGTATGATTGGTGGGTCTATGATCTGTAATAAAGTCATCTATTTGTTGATTACCTGCTTTTCACTAAAGTGCAATGAGTCAAACATAATTTGCAGAAAAATATACTGTTCAAACTGCTTAAATGTATGGGTCTATTGAGTAGCACTAATGAGCAGTATGCTAGCATATCGTGGACTTCCAACTTTCTTTTTTTTTCAACAAACAGAAGGAAGTGATTAATCCCTGCAGTAACATCTGCTTCTTAAGTAATGACTATATTTTAGCTTGACTGCCTGTAGGATTTTTTTAAAAAGGAAATCAGAACAAAAAAAAAATCTGATATGAGAATGAATAAACATTTAAGGGAAGAAACAGCACTTTCTAATTCAATGCAAAATATTGGAAGTTTGGGTGGACAACATTTTTCAATCTGATGTAGCAGTTTGAGATTTACCTTTTGGAGAAGTTTCTAGGGAGGTTGTAGGGAGAGTGAGACAAGGTATAAATTGGGTGTCTTTGGAGATTGAAAGTCAAGGGATTCAGCTGTACTTTCAGCTTCTACAAAATGTAAGGCATTATGTTTACACTTAAACACCCCCTCCCCAAAAGGACGTTGATATGTCTGGTTCTGGGAACTCTGGCAAGGGCCTGGAGCAGTAAGTCAGATACATTGCCTACCTCAGTTCCACTCTAAGTTGCAAGGCCTCTTTATAACAATTAGTTCAGCACAAACAATCACATACACAAATCACAAAACCCACAAAATTTCTGGTTCCATATTCATTTTAAAATGTTTCAAATTTTATATTTTTACTGAAGTTCTACCATGATGGCGAGAGGGGAATTCATAGTTTTCCTGCTCAGATTATTTTAATTTTAATTTAAAGGTACGATATCCTTGCAGTTTATATATTACATTTACTGTAAGGCCTTTTTTGCATGCTAAAGTACCTATTGCTCATCGTATGTTGCAGCACTTCCCTCCCTCTCAAATATGACTCATTTTGATTAAAGAACATTTTCTCTTTTCAGTCTTTTTTCAGCAAACAGCATGGAAGAAATTGTCCAAAACTTGAAGAAAGATGGATCTCCTTTTGCACTTGACCAATTAAAGGTAACGTTGCATTTGATTTTTATCCTATTTGAAGGATGCCTATATCCAGTCACTTTACGCGGCATTTTGATGCCTGATGCATTGCCTAAGCAAGGGAGGACAACTTGTATCCTGCACATGGCCTTTTAAGATACTTTTATATTAACCTGAAAGCCACCTCCCAAACTGTGACCTAAAATGACTAATATAGTTTTGCTGCCTATTTGTCTTTTAAAAAGATCGAGAACAGATACTCAGACAATGGCTGCTGCATTCTGCAGTTATGTTATGAGACGGAGGAGGCGTACATGTCATAAAACTGTCCACCTTCCAAACTGCGGCTACAGAAAAAAAGTTACAGCTATATCTTGTCTTTGGATCTTTTATAATGCCTTTCCATTAAAATTCTCTCCAGCCTTAAAATCCAGCCATATTCATTCTGATTCCCTCCTTCATAGCACAAATTCTCCACTGAATGGTGAATGAATGTCTTTCCTACATAGCTGGTCATGTTCTTCAACCTTCTGCTTCTTTCCCTAGTGAGGGTATTAGAGTGCTTTCTCCCTCCCTCCCTCCCTCCCTCTCCTCAAATCTTTTTGTCTCTCTGTTTATGTACTTGCCTACCTGTCTACCTACCTACCTACCTTCCTGGTTAGCTTCTTTTCCGCCCCAAGAGCATGATGTAAACCTATGAATTTGTTTGATTGTTATGTTATTCGCTCTCTGAGGAGGCTGAGTTGTTTAAATTATTCAAATTGAAAATTGATTTCCTTATTTATTTATTTATTTATTGAATTTCTATACCGCCCTTCTCCTGAAGGACTCAGGGCGGTGAACAGATTAAGATTTCATATACATATAATAATTAAATTATTATGAAATTAAATGTGAGGAAAAATACCAATAGTGAGTGGCAGTTATGTTAATGAGTTATTAGCCCATATGTGTAGTGCCAACTGTAACTTCTGGCTATGCTGATACTTAATAAATATATAACTACAACCACAACCACAAGTACTATGTTTATTTACAGGGATTTTTTGTTTCTTCTGCTCATTGTGCTCTCTCTGCAGCTCAAGCTAAGAACTTCATAATTAATAAAATACTACAGGTAGTCCTCTACTTACACAAGGACGATTACACAATTGAGCTGAACATTTCTGTTGCTAAGTGAGACATTTGTTAAGTGAATCACTGCAGTTGTTAAGTTAGTAAAACAGTTGTTAAGTGAATCTGCCTTCCCCATTGATTTTGCTTATCAGAAGGTCGCAAAAGGTGATCACATGACCCCAGGACACTGCAGCAGTCGTAAATATGAATAAGTTGCCACGGATCTGAATTTTGAACATATGACTATTGGGATGCCACAATGGTTGTGTGAAAAATGGTCATAAATCACTTGTTTCAGTGCCATTGTAACTTCTGTCACTAAATGAACTTTTATAAGAACTTTTGTAAGGACTACCTGTATAAGCCAAAGGGAGAAATAAGTTATACAATTTAAAAATCAAGGAGTTCACCAAGGATTGGTGTCACCTATGGGCAACATAAACATTTAATAAATAAATAAATAAATAAATAAATAAAATATAAATGAATAGTGTTGTTGCAGATTCCATACTCAAACCTGAAGTCCTATTAATGACAATAGTATTAATAATTTACATAGCTCATTAGTCACAAGAACAAATTTAGTTCTTTTCTAGAAAATGTTGCCAACCCTTTGGTGACAATAATATAATAGGTCTCTTAGGCAGGCACTTTTTGCATAAAAATAATAAAAAATGAACTTGCGTCTAGATTATAGAAAGAACAGTAAATGATGTAACTTTAGAGAGAGCGTTTGAACTTATAACTGCTGTGAAGAATATTTATTCACTTTATATATATTTTTGTTTCTTTTCTATTTTTCAACTTTTCTTGCACATTTTGTTTTTTCTTTGATTTCTTTTTTCTTTTATCTTCCTTATTTTATATCAAATTGTTGTTGCCAACCCTTAGCCTACTTGATCACAGAGCATCTTGAAAAAGCCATCACATCATCAGCTGTTCCTTTCTATGTAAAAAAATGGAATATATCCTTTGATATACCCAATGTTAAAACTTTCATGCTGAAGTGATTTGTCCTTTAATGAAGTCCCAGATCATCATTTATTTTCTGCAGAACATCTTGGGTTTTTTTCTTATTCATTAACTAGGATCCCCCCAAAAATGCAATTAATATTATCAGGTAGCGGTTGCATGGTTTTTCCTCCATTAACCATAGTTAGGGTGAATTTCAGTGAAAGTATAGCGCTGTACCATGGTCACTTCTGAGACATATGGAAAAATAGAAAAAGTATGAAATAAAGGCTAGAACAAACAAAAAAAAAGTGTTATTGAAAGGCCTGGAAAATCTTTTTGCCTTCACAATTTATACATTTTAAGGAGGGCAGTTTCCACAGATTTTTTTTAAACATCTAGGCTTGTTGCTGACATTCATTTGAAATGAAATTATTAACAATGAAGTGGCTAGCACATTTTGCTCTAATCTGCCTTCGGCTAGTAATGTTCTCTGTGCTACAATATTAAAAGTGAATGAGGCTGTGTTTCATCCATTTCTGCGGGTAACTTGTTTTGCTCCTTGAATATAGGCTTCCAGTAGCTTTACTGTAACCATACATAAGAATATATCCAGGCTTTTTAAAAGTTTGACTGCATTTATGTATTCTGTTGCTTGAAATTAAATTAAAAGTCTGAATGAAAGTAACCTGCAGCTGATTGCAGTAATCAGAAAGAAGACACATTTCCACATGTTCCTTAAACAGTTGCACATCTTTTGATTTCCAGCAAACAGATGGGGAAACAGAGCCTTCCATTTTGTTTATGCCTGTCATTAAGGCAATTGGCCTGTGGCGCTTGAGAGTTGTTTTTTGTTTGAAAGCTGAAGAAGTAAATTTCCATTACTGTGCCTTCCTTAAAGGGAAGAAGGGAGTATCTCTTCAACCATCCATGTAATAGTACTTAGACTTGCATACACTTCATAGTACTTTTATTTCCCTCTCTAAGAGTCAGCATCTTGCCTCCAACAATGGGTCCTCATTTTACTGACTTTGGAAGGATGGAACACTGAGTCAACCTTGAGCCAGTCAGGATTGAACTGCTGGCAGTTGGCAGAATTAGCCTGCAATACTGCATTCTAATCATTGCGCCACCACAGCTAATATACATTACCATATGCCACTGAAGTAATTGATATAAGTTATTTACTATTGAAAAAAGAGCTTTACTGAGAAAGAGTGACTGGCTCAAAGTCACTCACCTGGCTTTCATGCCTAAGGCAGGACTAGATAATAGAAAACACTTTGATTGACTCTATAAAATTGAATAATGTATAATATATTCTTTTACATTCCCATCTTGACAAAGTTACACTGTTTGCAAACTTAAATTCTATTTGTTCTTCATTAAATAAAATCAGCACCTTCCTTTTTCTTGCCCTCAGCCAGTGGTGAAATCCAAATTTTTTTACTACTGGTTCTGTGGGCATGGCTTGGTGGGCATGGTGTGGCTTGGTGGGCGTGGCAGGGGAAGGATACTGCAAAATCTCCATTCCCACCCCATTCCGGGGGAAGGATACTGTAAAATCAGCGGTGAAATCTATTTTTTTTTGCTACCGGTTCTGTGGGCGTGGCTTAATTAGTGGGCGTGGCTTGGTGGTAAGGTGACTGGGAGGGCGTGGCTTGTTGGTAAGGTGGGTGTGGCCAAGTCAATGTCACTTCTTTGCCCTTTTTTAACCTACAAAACACAACACAACACAACTGGCTTACCCACAATATAAAAGCAGCTGAGCTAGACCCAAAATGGCCCCTGCAACAAGCAGGAACCTCACACAGCCACAAAAAGCCCAAAAACAACTTTCACACTTTACACACAACACAACACAACACAACTGGCTCACCCACAATGTAAAAGCAGCTGTGCTAGACCCAAAATGGCCCCTGCAGCAAGCAGGAACCTCACACAGCCACAAAAAGCCCAAAAAACCAACTTTCACACTTTACACACACAAAATTCCACATACAGCTTTGTGAGATTTTGTGTGTTTGTGTAGTTAGAGTGAAACACTACCGAAACACACTAAATCCCAGAAAGCTGCACAAATATTATTTTATTTTAATTTATTTTTATTTTTATATAAAAGCAGCTAAATTTAAAACTTCCTAAACTTTAAATGGCTAGGTCTAAAAAAAAGAACAACTAAAGAAAACCCCAATTAACTATTTTTTTAAAGTTCCCAAAGGGGGGAAAAACTTACCCAATAGAACAGGGGTCTCCAACCTTGGCAACTTTAAGACTTGTAGACTTCAACTCCCAGAATTCCTCAGCCAGCTTTGCTTTACTGGCTGAGGAATTCTGGGAGTTGAAGTCCACAACTCCCTGCCTGCTTGATTGCAGGCAGGGAGATTCAGTTGCTTGCTGATGCAATCGATTGCAAGGATTACAGCAAGGTGTTGCGACCAGCAGCTAAAATAAGCAAGCTGAGGGGGGGGGAAGGGATCGTCAGAGCCATTTAAAAGGAAAAAAGTTTTTTTCTTTTACATGGCTCTGACGATCCAAGCTGAGTTGCCTGATTAGCAGGCAACTCAGCTGAGACCGTCAGAGCTTGGATCGTGAGAGCCATTTAAAAGAAAAAAAGGCTCTGATGATAGCGCGGCTCAGCTGGGCATGGGGGGCGGGGGCAGGGATTTTTGCTACCAGTTCTCCGAACTGTCCACCGCCATCGCTACCTACTTGCCCGAGCCGGTCGGAACCGGGAGCATTTCACCCCTGTGCAAAATCCCCATTCCCTCCCCACTCCTGGGGAAGGATACTTCAAAATCTCCATTCCCACCCCACTCTGGGGCCAGCCAGAGGTGGTATTTGCTGGTTTTCCAAACTGCTCAAAATTTCCGTCACCAGTTCTCCAAAACCTGCTGACTTTCACCCCTGCCCTCAGCTATTAGGAAATAAGATGAGAATATCACACTTTGCTGATATAT